AGGATCAGGCACCAGTAAAATTACGTGAACGAAAAAATAAATTTTTCGATTTTTGAAAGGAAAATTCCAAGAGAATTTAGAAACGCAAATCATCATTTTAGATCAACCTTTTTAAAAAGGTGCAAGATAGATGAAAATGAGAAAAGCTTTTCCACCGAAGCTATGGATAATATTTTCATTCTCTGACGGTTATGTGACAGGTGATGACGATGCGAATGACTCATGTGTATTAGAATTAGCTAAATAATTAGAATAAGCTTTATAACAAGAATAAGCTTCAATAGTATTTAGAAATTATTTCGTTCGAAATGACGAATTCATTCCAAATACATGCCTTATATCGCAGATATTTACTTTTCGTACTTTATTAATAATAATTAATTACCTCAAAAACCTCAAACTTCGATCTTACATACGTTTTACGCGACCTCAATACCAGAGGCACTCGAAATTTCAATTAGATTCAATAAATTAAGTGATATATCGGCCATTTTGTATCAGCCATCTTGAATTTGAGATTTTTGACTGTAAATTCGGCTTTAGCGACCTGAAAAACATGAAGTCCCCACTTTTGGTGATGATGCAAGTGTTTTTGGACTTTTGTCCAGCTTTTTCGGATTTCCGACCACTGTGGCGCGCAGCGCTACAAAAGTTGAGCTGAGCTGTGGACCAAACTAGTATACAGGGTGATTCACGACTTATCAAAAAAATGGGAATAGGTGCGCCATGAAAAATTGAGTCAATATCGTAAATAAATTTTTTGTAAAATCCTTATAGTTTCCGTTTGCTAGCGTCATTCTCGTTGTATACTGTGCGCAATGCGCTCTCTCTCCACGTGGCTCTAGGCGATTCCGAATACTGAAATCTGATGTTACGTTTTTGTGATAGTGTTTACATCAGTTTTTAAGTGTCAAAAATGGTTTACGTGTATAGCAACTCGGGAGTTGATGCATATCGTTTTAATTTACGGTGAAGCAAGACAACATTTGTGTTAGTTCGTAGAAACTGGGTAAGACGGACGCAAATATGTTTACACGCCGATGCGACGGACAAAATTTTAAACAGTTGTTGCAACATCAGGTAGGTATGTCAAATGATTTTACTAACCATAATAATTAATGATAGCAATAGCAGTAGAATTTGATATACAATAGGTGTTATAAAATTTTATTTACATATTTCTTTCATTGGGAGAGAAAATCTTTAAATTTTTTGTTCGTTTATTTTTTAATTTGCGCAAGGCAAAGTATGCCGACTGCATACTATGCCTTGCGCAAGGTCGGGTGTTACAGTTGACCAATTTCCAGTGCCATGCAAAGGTGTATTTTTAAACCAATCATTTTCGAAGTGCCCTTTTTGTTTTTTTAAATTGTATTTGTAAGTCCCCTGTACTTTAAAAAAAATTTTGGTGCAGAATCACCTTGTATTCCATAGTATCTTGATCCGCTGAATCTAAATCTAAAATCAGAATTTTCTGATCAGATCGATAATTGCCTATGCCTATGGAATTCGAATTAATAAATAGTTTCATGCTTTTTAAAACTTAAAACATTTTTTCTCTAATTTTTATGATTACAAATTTCATATTTGATTATGTCTTCCCGTTTTACCCCATCCCTCCTTTTAGTGGACAAACTGTATTTAATATGTATCTATTTGTTTTCTTCATACTTTATTATTAATATAAAATTGTAAATTATGATTATACCCTGTTTTCAAAGAAACAAAAATGATTAGGATAAAAGTTGCAGGGTTTTGAGTGAGCAATCCAACGGTGACCTTGACCATGACCTCGCAGGTCATTTAGAGCCGTATATTTTTTACCCCGGATATGGAAAAAATGGAAATATTTACGTTCGGATATGACTTTGACCATGACTCTCGAGGTCGTTTACAGGTCAAGTCGATTTTTAATAAATAACCCGATATTCTTGACTGCGGAAATTAAATGAGCGTAAAATTCAAAAATGACCTATACCATGTCTTTAACCATGACCTAAAGGTAACTGTAACGTCAAATGTAAGCAAAGAACTTAAGTTTAATAATGCTCTTACGAAAAAAAATTAAGGGCAAAAATTTTCTTAACTATTGATATTGTTATGACCTCGGCCTAAACCTCCAAGTTACAGTCAAGGNTTTTTAAAAATGTATCAACCTTGAAATTAACCTTCTATTTTTTGTCAACAAAATTGAATTTATCGGATTACACGTCCATATGAGGAATAAAATTCTCTTGGAAAGGGAAAAATGGAACCTAATGGCGTGTCACTTCTGCAGAAATAGCGAATTAATCTTTCATTGGCGCCTTAAATCTAGATATCAAAGAGGATGCGGATCACAATGGGAAAAGAACGCCCTTGCACCCTTCTAAAAGGAGACGTTCACGATTGAATGCGGCCCTTTCAAGCGAAATAGGTCACTTTATGTGCTATTTCAGTTCAACATCCAGTTTTCTATAGAACAAAAACACGCTTTTTACATTTATTTTCTACGGATTATCGAAGTTTTCCGTTTAATTTCTGATCTACAAAGGCGTTCTATTGTATTACAAAATAATTAAAAACTACAAGTAAATTTATTAAATTACAGTTCATCCATGTTGTCGAGATACAATGGTTTGGACAACCAATCAACCAGAAATTGGGAAACACCACGCCGAACGAAAATCGATAATTTAACAGACAGAACTGAAAAAAATTGTTGCATGTTTGAGCTCGATTCAATTCGTACTATTTTTAGTCTCTCTCAGAGGGAATTTAACTTTAGAAATTGAGCAATTATTTTAGCTAGATAGATCATTTGATTAGTAATCTAATCCAGATTATGTTCTCGTATATAATACTCTAAATACGTTGTCATTATGGAAGTTGTTATATTACTTAACTGCTCCACAAATTAATTATTGATTTAGTGATGTTACTCACATGTACAGTTACAATTACGGTATGTAAGTAGTAAATGAATAAAGCATATAAAATTTAATAAATAATACGAGAAAAGTTACATGTATGTATTTAAGAAAAAGCATAACATAGAGAACAGTTTTTTTGCACTCTTTTAACAAAATAATTACAGAAATATCTCTTTCTAGTAGCTGTTTTTTACGTGATTTTACGTGAAATTAAAAAAAAAATTTGAATTTTCAAAATATTGCACAGCCTCAAATAAAGCATCTAAATACTTTAAAATTTTTTCACATAGAAAAGGCCGCTCAACCTTTCAAATGGTTTTTGAAAAATTGAAATCGGTTGATTAGGACGGCCGCAGTAAATTTTTAAAGTTACCACTCTTTTTTTTATTTTTAGACAATTAGATTACATTTGTCAATTTGCAATTTAGTTTTTTTCAAAAATTATAATTTTAAAGTACTATTTTTTCTTAATTTTATCTGTATTTAATAAAAAATTATTTCCAAATAAAAAAAAATTAATTTGTTTAAACAAAAATCATTTAAATAATTATAATAATTATAACTAAATATATTTATATTCAGTGTTGAAATGTATACGTAAACAAATTTTTTCATCGGAAAAATGTAATAGCATAGGGTAAAATATTTAATGCATAAATAATAATAAACTTTGTTTATAACAAAATATGTGCAAATTAAACAGTTGGCATTAAGATATTCGAATTCCTTCGAAAAAAGATCGAAATTAGAAGCCGAGATAATGCAATTTTTTTCGTACCTTCGCATTTTGAACCTCCGAATTCAGTCTCGGAGCGAAAGCCCCCTCCCCCACTTTTCGTGTTTTGAGTCATTTTTCATGCGAGCGACAGCTTTTCCGCAGATTTATCTATGTTGCCGATAACTTATGGATATGAAAATTTTTCCAGCTTAGAACTCGGAAAAACGAAGCCACTGGATCAAAGATTATTGTTAAATTGTTTATAAATTAACGGTAAATGCCGATAAACTTTGATCGAGAACCAGTAAACGGAATTTAACTTCTTTTAAAAAAAAGCGTCTTTCCGAGTACTTTAAAATTATAATTTTTGAAAAAACTAAATTGCAAATTGATAAATGTAATCTTTGTTTAAAAATTAAAAAAAAAGAGTGTTAACTTTAAAAATTTACTGTAGCCGTCCTAATAATAATCGATTTCAATTTTTCAAAAACCATTCGAAAGGCTGAGTGGTCTTTTCTAAGTGAAAAATTTTCTAAGTGAAAAATTTTTCAAGTATGTTTTATTTGAAGATCATTTTGAAAATTCGAAAAATTTTTTTCAAAACTATCGAATCGATTTTAATGAAATTTGGTGTGTTGTTTTATTATACTCTAATGTTTTTTTTACCAAAATTAGAATGCCCTCGGAGCATTTAAAATATTTTAAAAAATTGTCCAAAAAACTTGACTATTTTGCCTTTTTTCATCAATTATTGCCATTTTGCAACATCGGTAATAAATTTAAACATTTTTAACTAACAGTATGTTGTGTAAAATTCAATTCTAAAACTTTTTTCCTCTTCAATATTCTTCCAAACGCATAGGTTCCAAGATATTTTTAAATTTCTTAAACATTTCTGCAATTTTGAAAATGTTCCGGACCTCGCCCAGATTTAGGCATTTACACTTTTATTATGTGAGTTGTAGGTACTGAAGGTATTCCAGCAAAAATTAGCTTGCCCCCTATTACATTAAGAAGTGGGATATTTCTACAGATGCGCCCTGGTCTATAACGCAAAAGTGAATTTTGAAGAACTTATATTTACGTTTGACAATATATTCTTTTTAAACGATCTTAGCGGGTATATTGCATATGTCCATTTTTTTTGCTTACATAAACACAATTTTCTTATTTTTATTTGACATGTTTTTCTGTCTATTAAATTTACTTACCAAAATGGTATGCCCACAGTTCGCTACATGACCCCCGTAGATCCTGATACCCACCATATATAAGCATGGACCCATTGTAGACGAGAGCTGAATGCCCTCTTCTTCCCTTTGGTGTCGCTACACCTAAAACATCTAAATGTACATATTTGAACCCGATAAAACCGCTGAAAGTGTTTGTGTTTCTGTATAAGTTATCAGGGAATCGACACAAACATTGAAAAAGTAGATCTCCTGCCTATAAACAGTTTGCATTGATTTCTTATTTACCACAAGAGAAATGTTTCCGGAAAAGTAGGTATTTATGATAAAATGTTAACCTGATATTTGCGAATTCTGGAAAATGAAACAAAACAACACAGCGCTACAAAAGTTGAGCTGAGCTGTGGACCAAACTAGTATACAGGGTGATTCACGACTTATAAAAAAAATGGGAATAGGTGCGCCATGAAAAATTGAGTCAATATCGTAAATAAATTTTTTGTGAAATCCTTATAGTTTCCGTTTGCTAGCGTCATTCTCGTTGTACACAATGCGCTCTCTCTCTCCACGTGGCTCTAGACGATTCCGAATACTGAAATCCGATGTTACGTTTTTGTGATAGTGTTTACATCAGTTTTTAAGTGTCAAAAATGGTTTACGTGTATAGCAACTCGCGAGTTGACGCATATCGTTTTAATTTACGGTGAAGCAAGCCAACATTTGTGTTAGTTCGTAGAAACTGGGTAAGACGGACGCAGATATGTTTACACGCCTATGCGACGGACAAAATTTTAAACAATTGTTGCAACATCAGGTAGGTACCTATGTCAAATGATTTTACTGACCATAATAATTAATGATAGCAATAGCAGTAGAATTTGATATACAATAGGCGTTATAAAATTTTACTTACATATTTATTTCATTGGGAGAGGGGATCTTTAAATTTTTTGTTCGTTAATTTTTTAATTACACTTTGCCACCGTGCCGGTCGCCGACTGCATACTTTGCCTTGCGCAAGGTCAGGTGTTACAGTTGACCAATTTCCAGTGCCATGCAAAGGTGTACTTTTAAAACAATCAATTTCGAACTCCCCTTTTTGTTTTTTTAAATTGTTTTTGTAAGTCCCCTGTACTTTAAAAAAAATATTTGGTACTGAATCACCTTGTATTCCGTAGTATCTTGATCTGCTGAATCTAAATCTAAAATCAGAATTTTCTGATCATATCAATAATTGCCTAATAGTTTCATGCTTTTTTTTATAAAACAATTTTCTTCTAATTTTTATGATTAAAAATTTCATGTTTGATTCTGTCTTCCCTTTTTACCCCATCCCTCCTTTTGGTGGACAAACTGTATTTAATATGTATCTATTTGTTATGTAGATGTTGTTTTCTTCATACTTTATTATTAATATAAAATTGTAAATTATGATTATACCCTGTGTTCAAAAGGTTTGGAACCCCCCCCCCCTATCTCAGAAAACACTGCTCAAACAAAAAAATGATTAGGATAAAACTTGCAGGGTTTTGAGTGAGCATGACCTTGAAGGTCATTTAGAGGTCAAGTTGAAAATTTTAAATGGAACGGTATATTTTTTACCCCGGATATGGAAAAAATGGAAATATTTACGTTCGGATATGACCTTGACCATGACCCTCAAGGTCGTTTACAGGTCAAGTCGATTTTTAATAAATGACCCGATATTCTTGACTGCGGAAATTGAATGATCGTAAAATTAAAAAATGACCTATACCATGACCTAAAGGTAACTGTAACGTCAAACGTAAACAAAGGACTTAAGTTTAATAATGCTCTTACGAAAAAAATTTAACGGCACAAATTTTCTTAACTATCGGATGGTGATATTGTTATGACTTCGGTCTAAACGACCTCCTAGTTATAGTCAAGGTCACCGTCTGATTGCCCACTTTTAACCCCAGTCAGAAGTATACGGTTCCATTTAAAATTTTCAACTTGACCTCTAAATGACCTTCAAGGTCACCGTTGGATTGCTCACTCAAAACCCTGCAACTTTTTTCCTAATAATTTTTTTGATTGAGCAGTATTTTCTGAGATAGAGGGGGGGGTTCCAAACTTTTTTAACACCCTGTATGTATTTTCAAGCCTTAATTCTCTTTTCACAAATTTTTGCCTTTCCATTTTTTTTCTAATTGAAACGTATGGTTAGTATATTTCCTAAGAATAATGCTCACCCTTTTTTGTGCGTTTCTTCTTCCACGTGTTGGCTCGGATATCGTAAACCCAAAGCGGCGTCTCGGTGCCGGCTGAAAATCCCACCTCGCCGCCGAACACGTAAATGCAATCTCTGTACGCCACTGTGGTGTGTTCCTGCAGGCACGGCAGTTTGTCACCCGTCGGCTTTAATTGCTGCCACTTTCCTGTAACTATGACATTAAATATAATGATCCTGAAAGCTCTATGCTCGCTAGAGCAATAGAAATTACTAATTAATCGTGAGTGATTCTGCTGAAATTTTCGTTTATAATCCGTTGGAATGTCTGCATTTATTGGTAGTCTTGCAAAGTTACCACTAGATGTCGTCATTTATATCTCGCTGACAACTGTTGGTTACAATGTAACAAGAAATCAGAAATATATTTTTGTTAATGTTAATTTTTGCAATAAATCCGAAAACACTAAATATTTCCGAAATATGTCTAGAATTTTCTGAAGAATCCAAATAATNGAAGTTTCGAAAAAGATAGAGTCTTCAGTGTCTTCTGCTGCCACAGAACCAGAACAACGATCGTCTACTGGAATACAACAAGAAAACAACGACCGCACGCTGAAAAACTGCACTAAAAACACGACACCAAAAATATTCTCTATTACCGAAAACAAGTGCACAATAATACTGCTTTTCCCAGCGTAATCTTGAAGGAATGTTCAAATGTTACTATAAATATTAAATATTAGTTTCTTTTGTTAATGCGTTAGCAATTTTCTTAATAAAAACGAGTTAAATTTGATGTTTGTGGTCTTTGTTTGCAGTCGTATAAAAAGTATCGTAAAAAACTCGTTTTCAAACCTTGTTGTTTAATATACTATTATAATATTTCCATTGATAATACTCTACTACATCGAGGAGTTACGAGTTGGTTAGGATTATTCTAATTGCAATGTAAATATGTACTACTCTTTCGTTCCATAATTTGTACTGTTTAGATTAAAGAAACGAAGAAATATACCTATACCTATACGCCTACCGTTAATGGAAGGAATCCATTTACTTTACAACTGAATTACAGGTTATATTTGTTCCTTACTTTAAACTGGAAGGTGCAATAAATCAATAGAAGGGTAATTTCCGTACCAAATTTATTAAGGCCGTTTCAAAAGCTTTTAACAGATAAAAGGAAATCTCGTCCAGGAAATTACAGGCAAAATAGGCAAACCAGTTCCTGAATAAAGGAATTGTCCACTTGGATGTGTTATATGTTTATTTTTTAATAGTTTTTATTAATTAGTTAATAAAATATTATTTTTAAGCATTTATTTTAGGAATATTTATGACACCACCTTGACTAAATTTGCTATATAGTTATTTTCAGTCGATTCATATGACAGATTGATTGTTAGTGAAAAGGGGACATTTGAAATTGTACAAAAAACATCTTGGGATATGGTTACGGTCACCATATGTACTTATTTAAGTAGGAGAGTACTTACTTTTAAATAATATCCTAATATACTTTAAAACTCTTCTAAGGACATGCGAATGTACTTATTTTTAAAAAAAAGGAGAAAACTTTTTATTTTTTTAAGTTTTTAAACAAATATCCTGATATATTGTTCTCAGTTAATTTCTTTTGGCACTTTTACTTGAATATTGAGCCACTGTGCCTTCAGATAAGTTTTGTCAACATTTTATGACAATTTTCGAAAATGTTAACTTTTTAGCCCTAGTGTGAACTCTTGCACTAGATACACAAATAGCTATTTCTGTACCAGTTCACAACAGTGCGCAAAATGTGAGTTACTGCGATACTACATTGAATATCAAAAAACTGTTACTATAAATACAGTGACAGGTTTGTAGATAAATAAATGTTATTTTCAACGAAAATTGCTTTACATTCTACCCCCTACACCTAAATTTCATCAAGAATTACGCCCCGTACAAAATCTCTTGTACCCAAAACTGCTAAATGAATTATTCCCGCGTTCCTTTATTTAACAACATCGCAATTTAACGCCCGACCGTAGTCTACAAAATTACACAGGTTCCCCTGTTGGCTTTTACTCATACATCATTCAGGGCTAGCACATATGGACGCAGTCGAATTCCCCCAAAAGGGGATGTAGAATGACGTGTGGGTTATTCATTAGAGCGATTCAGCCTCAGGCCCTTTTTAAATAATTCTAGTCGGTCAATACCTTCGCAGCTTTTCAGTTTTTCAGTAAATGCGGTGATAACGACTCACTACTGTACAGGATATTTCCGTACTGTAAATTTCATGTTGAAGGATTCTTTGCAGCTCTGATATATCAATAACACCACAAATCAATATATCTATAATTTAAAATTATTTGCGATATTACTTCGAATGCATTTCGCGCGTTATTAGAAATACCGATTTTACACTTCACCATGGGCTAAGCCGTCGCGTCGCTAACAGATGCCTAACACATGGTCCCGACGGTCTAAGTGAACTTGTTCAGAAACATTGCTAGATTTCATGAGGCCTTCTCCGAAGGACGGCTTTGCAAATTTGTTACTCCCGGTGACAAAAGGCACTAGTCGCTAAACCTACTTGAAAACCCTTAACTTTTCAATAATTAGTGTTGTCCGAAATATTTTACTGTCTGAGTTGACCCATCCGTTCCGAGAATTAACAAATAAACTACCACGCGTCCCGGCTTTTGTTACAACCGGTATATGTCTGGTGTGTTTGACCGACGAATGATTCTAGCCGATATTGCTAGCATAATCCAATGCTAGTCGGAGTATAGCCTACACAGAGGTTGTTGCCTGCAGTATCATCACTCAAAAAATATTAGGTTTGTGACAATTTTATTATTATTTTCGTTTTGAGAGGTTGGATAGGAATTTGTTAATATCATCTGGGTGTGACTTTTTTCATTTTTATTTTTTTTTTCATGGAACATCCTGAAAGTTACTGCATGTTTGACTTTGTCGTTGAATTTAAGGCTATTTTATATACAAAAACAGTATCTGTATATGGTATGGTGAAATGAACAACTTATCACTAACAGATTAAAGCGGTCCTATTATTAAACTGTCACGCATATTTTTACCATTTACATGCACGTCAGGTATTTTTTAAAAAATTGTAGCAAGAAGGGGAATAAAGAATCTATTATAAATGTAAATTTGATACCATTTTATCGTGTCATTTTTGAATTTATAATACTTTAAGGATATATTAGCTACATTTACTAAAATATAAATATGAACTTATTTTTGTATATAATAAAAATATACTATTATGTGTTTACAGTTTAATAAAACTCTTTCAATAACGAATAACAGCAGACCTTAAAGCCACAATTTTTTTTCCTTAAAACCACTGGGCACTTTATAAAAATATTAAGATATTCATAATCTCAAGGCTGACAGCAACGCACCTAAATGGAAATTAGAAATTTTACCATACCCCTCAAATGTGAAACATTATTATTCCAAGAGGGTGAATGAATTTCTTGAGTAATGAAAATGAGAAACGTGCTGGAGCATTTTAATCACCTTTTATGAAAAGCTAACCACATTACAGCTTCTTTTAAGATTATGAAAGTATACGATGCTTTCAAGGATTCTATACAGGGTATCTGCAGAATGCAGTGCAGTTTAATGTGTGACAGTATAGAGCAAAATAAACAAAAAAATTACATACAACGTGGGCTAACCGTTTTCGAGAAAAAACAGTAAATTTTTTGGCAAAGTTCAAAATTAAAGGTTATAAGACAAAATAAATTGCAGTAACTGCTAAAACTACCCGGCAACATATCTTATTAATATCAATGACATTCAGTTGTGAGTCATTTTCTGTTGTTTTTATAGTTTCCCGAATTTCCCTCTGTTCACGAATTCTCGATGGTCATTAGTTGAGGTGTTAAACAGTTGTCATCATCAGTTTTCAGTTGTAAGTCGATTAGAAAGTTACTGTTATTTATCGTGTTTCGGTCGTTTATATTAGTTTATTGGAAAATAATTTTTTGCGTACTATTTTGTTTGCGTTATATTAAGGTTATCATGTGTAAATTACATTAATTCTTAATTTAAAGGGAAAAATATGCAGCCCATCATGAAGCACAACATGGTTATGGTAAACGGTATCCAGAATCCAAATAGGCGTTTACTAGGACCAAACTAACAACAGATGACGTTGTTGGCGATACCGACAGAAGCATAAGGAGAATTTTCAAATAAGCGGATATGCATCTTTTAGACATTTATTTGTGGGGTCTGATAAAATAGTGAACGAAGAGCAAGTTCTTGAGAAAATTTTTGCTTGGAAATTTTGAAAAAAAAATACTAGTTTTTTTTATTTCGATTAAATCAATGTTAAGTATAACAAAAAAGAAACACTATTGCAAGTTGTAGACGTTTCTCTTTCATTAAAGCGTTTTTTAAAACTCTGCGATTAAGATATTTTTTGTATTAATATAAAATATATATACTTAATATAAAGTAAGAGAGGATTTTTCCATCAATACATAGTACAAAAAGGGGACTTAAAAACAATTACAGTTATACAAAATAATTATTTCATAAATATACAACAAATGTATAGCTCTCATTTTAATTTAAATTTGTCTTGTTAAATTTGTAATAAGAAGTTTTTAAGTTTTGGATATCTTGTTTTTATTAATGCTATTTTTAATTTCTTAATATTAATCAGCTCTTGTAAAAGTCCTTTTTATAATTTTTTTTTCGACCAATTATAATAGTCCCTTCAAACAAAGATTGATTTAATAAAGTAATGAGCCAGATACTTCAGAACATGTAAAGGATACAAATTAAATTAATATCAAAATTAAACAACAAAACCTCTCTTTCGTCTTTTAACTCGAATAACTCGTAAATTACAGGGGGTAAGATTAACAATTTTCAAAATACAGCGAGTATTAACATTGGGGAGTTTCATCACAACGTGATAACAGCGCTACACAGCTGATGCACACCACGTGTGCACGCGACAGACTTGTCCTACGGAAAAAATGTTAACAATTATTGTGAAACATTTAATAAATTTCAAGACAATTGTTTTCCAGTTTTTAAATAAATAAAATAAATTGTATCGATTTTGTACTACGAAGATAATATTGTGCTTAAATTTTAGCTCGAATTTTAGTAATTATGAATCTCTTAAAACAGGAACTTAACTTTTAATCAAATTATGAATTTGATATGTTATTAAAG